AGTTGGTCTTTGGTGAACATATCGACCGAAATGATGTGTTTATTAGCAAGACTGTGGTGGGGTTGCTCCATTTGGGAGAAACTATCAGTGCGGATACGGGGGCCCACAGGGGTGGGGGAGGTGACGCCAAGTCGACTATCAACGTGGAGTTCGTTAGTGGCAGAGAATTGGACTTTTCCACCCCCGGATAACAATTTCTTGAAAATTTCGTTAGTCTGGCCGTCGTTGTACTCCCCACCGGTAACAACGGGAGGGTTTACAACCTCGTCGTAGGTTTTTTTCGATTCCCAATTTCGGACGTTTTGCCCAAAACCGGGCTGGACCAAAATTTGGCCGTCGACGAAGGCCACTTCTCCTCGTAGGACAACCCGGTGAACAGCCCCCTTAACCTTTCTGCCGGCAAAAGGAGTCCATTCTGCTTTACTATAAGCCGTTGTGTCGGGAATAGTCCACTCCTCATCCAAATCGATTTCAACATAAGTGTTAGGTTGGTCCGGCAAGTTGAAAATTCTCTTCGGATTCAGATAAAACTTGGTGATAATATCATCAACGGTCAATTTCTTTTCGTTAACTGCATTTAGGAGTAAAGGGAGGATGGTTTCAAGCCCGGGGAAACCTGGGGGAGGGTTCGAACTGGTCTTCTCCTCCAGAGTATGAGGGGCATGATCGGTGGCAAAACAATCAATCATGTGTAAATTATCCCAAAGGGCTTGTTGGTCCTCTAGTGACATTAACACCGGTCGAACTTGACTTTTGCACACCCCCAAAGTTTTAATATCTTCAGTTGATAAAAATAGGTGGTGAGGGCAAACCTCACAGGTGATATTCAAGCCTTTCTCTTTTGCCGCTTTAATAATCAAAATTTCTTCTTTTCGAGCAACATGACAGATGTGAATTGGCCGATTTTGCAAACTTGCCATCAAGATAATAGCAGCAGTCGTTTGGCCTTCTGCATGTACACAAATCGGGGCTTTTTTGGGCCAATTTGCCAAGTGTTTGCCCCACGTATTAAGATCGTTGAGTCTCAAGGTTGTGAAAGTCTCATTGAGGTACATTTTGAGACCTGCGACTTCGTGTGCTAGTTCTGATATTGTGGAGTAGTTGTCTGAGGAGGCCCCCATGTAGATAGCATAATCACATCGGGCATTTTTCCGTGCTATATCTTTGACTAGCTTTAGAGTTTCCTGATTTGTGACAGCAGGATTAGTGTTAGGCATCGCACAAATCATGGTGACTCCTCCTGCCAAAGCAGCAGCGGTGCAAGAGGCGTAGTCTTCCTTGTGAGTAGCTCCGGGTTCTCTGACATGAACATGGGTGTCGATGAGCCCTGGTAGCTTGACCAGTCGGCGAGAAGATATACAATCCGTGTGTGTTTTCATTGGAGGAGGAGCTTTTCCAATACGTCTCAAAGCCTCTACTAGAAGTTTAGTACATTTGACGTCGGTGACGAGAGGAATAGAGTAGTCTATAGCCAAACGCCGGGTTCTGTACCCATGTGTCATGAAAGAAGACACTCTTCGCGCACCCCCATTTCGCATGGGAAGATTAATAACCAAATCAAATTGTTTCTTTGATAAAAACTCTGCCAAGTGTTTAAGTTCTCCTTGACTCGTTATGGCATCAATGTTTTCAAAAGTCCATTGTACTGACTCGACCTAATCAACAAAACAATTAAAATAGTCTCGAGAAGGAAAAAATAGTTTTTTTGCATCCTAATCTAATCTCTCTATCTGTCAAGTATCTGAGATAAAAAATAAAGTTTTAAAGTATCGAGAAATGGAGAGTACTAATATGTGTGTTCGCGGTTAAGATGGGCAATTGCCATTCGCACAAGTCCGAAAAGCCGAAGGGTAGAGTGTCCACTAAACCGCGGCAAAGTCATTTAGACTGGGATTCGATCATGACTCAGGAAAATGACGGTGGTGCTATGTCGCAGATGACCTACGATGAAGTGGAAGTGGCCAAAATGAAGAAAGAGTTGCTTGAGTCACCCCAAATTTTTGTGTTGAACAATTTGTTGATGTCGGTTATGTTTTTTGAAAATTATGAAAGGTGAGTCTTTTTGAGTTATCGGAAGGTCAAGTGACTTTGGAATTCGTTGGAAATTTGAATTATCTTATCTACGAAATTTTTCGCATTTTTCGGAATGTACCTTGTGAAAATAAATTATTTTAATCTATAACTGTAATAAGGAAGTTGACCCGAGATTGAATTGGGTCAAATGTTTTTAATCTAATATTTATTTAAAGCTTCTTCTAAAAAATACAAGGATGTTATGTTGATGCGATTGATCAAGTGCATTTACTCGTATAGTTTCGGTTTACTTTATTTAATTTTTCACTAATAAAAATAACACAATTATTTTAAAAGATTTAATAAAACCATTTTGATGTCTGTTCCCTAATTCACTGACTTGATTAAAAAATGTACATTAACAAGATTTAAAAGTATCTAACTAAAATAACATAAAAAAGTACCACTCATCATAATACAGTAAAGTAAAAAATAGAAAGCAGATGACGTGTTTCCTATCAATCTTTTTGTGGTAACTTCGCAACTTTCAAATATAACTATTAGTGACATGTATATTTTAAATCCTCATAGACCTTATTCAAAATGACTGTGTTGAATACTCAAAAAGGGTTTTATTTCTACTATTCATTAGAGTTTTAAAATCTCGTTAGCATTTATTTTATAATTTGATTTTTTCAAGAATTACTGTTGTAATATTCCCAACCTTTCGTAAGTCAAGAAATGTCATTGCATCCCTAGGTAGCATTACCAGGTTCATGTCCATCAAATGTCAAAAACGCCATCTGGGTTATAATCGAGGTTGTAATATACTATTATAGTTATTAACAACGTAAGGCCGATATGTATGAAATAACAGATAGATTTTTATGTCAAATAATGTCGAATTTGACGCAAGTAGCCTTTCGGGTGTGTCTTTTGTATAGCAACATATATAACAAAATCGTATTAAATTGTAAATTTTCTAAAAGTTAGAACCTGTATTATTTTGAACCAAAGAAGGCAGAAATGTTTCAAAACTAAAACTGTTAATAAATTGGTCCTTCTAAAAGAAAGTATTTTCACTAATAGGGTAGTTTTAAAAATAATAATTTTACTAAGTGTTAGACCATGCCATACAGAATAAAAGTCTTAATAAACTTTAGGTTTAGGTAACTGAGAAAATGTTAACTTGTTGAGCAAATGGTACAGTATGGGTTGTTGCGAATAGTTTTCGCTGCTTTAAAAAAACGTTTGCGTAATTGTGCTTTGGACCCAATTTCTAAATTGCAAAATAGGAGTATTGTTTAATAAAAAAAAAACATTTTCCAAGCATATTTTGTAAAAAATTTGAAATGAATTTTTTTTATTTAAAATAAAGAATAAACAAATAAACACAGTTACCGACATTCTTCTTCTTCTTGGATCTTCTTGGTATGGAAACGATGAACAAAAACACGATTAGCCCGTCACACCAAACTTTTATTTTAATGCACAACGCGTTT